AAAAGAAAAAAAAAAAAAACCAGGTTGCAAAACTCGAACATGAGTAGGATCCCTTTTGTGAAAAATTATTTTTATTTCTACATCTATATGTATATTTATGCATCAAGAGATGTCTGGAGGGATGGTTATCCAAATGTTAGTAATGGTAATTTTCAGGTAGTGGAATTTTTCTTCTCTATAGTTGTAAAAGAGAAAATTTGTAATTTTTGAGCAGGAAAATAAAAAAAGAAAAACCCTTTGTTAATATTACAGTTCACACCAAGAATTATTAAAGCATTCATGCCCTTTGACCTAGCTATCTCACTCTTGGGAACCAGCCTGAGGAAATAGCTCAAAAGAAGGAAGTCGCTATATCCGTACAAACATGCACTGCAGCATTATTTATAATAGAGGAAAACAGAGACCCACTGAAGCGGCTTACATTAGGGTAATAATTAAATTATTCACCCATTGGAACACTGTGTAACAATTTAAAAGAGAAAGATGATGGCCATGTAACAACATGGACAACTGCTTGTGGCAGGAGGAGAAGCAGAGGGCAAGACACACACCGAGACCTGTGCCAGGAGCACTCACAGGCCGAGATCCTGCGTGTGTCTGGACGAGGGCTGGACGGGAACACGAGCAAATAAAAACAGTTTAATTTGTTGGGGCCACTGGTTGTGGGTGATTTTCTTTTCATTTAGAATTCTAATGTTTCTATAATGCTGTTTGTGTAATTAAAAAAAAAATGGCTTTAAAAATCCCTGCAGGGAAAAGAAGGGGAAGCAGGGAGAGAAAAATAGAAGGCGGACCTGGGACTTTCCCGGGGGCGGGGGCGGGGGGGCGGGGGCGTGGTCCGGGTGAGGAAGATTCAGAGGCAACATGCTGGCAATACTTCAAGTTGAGTCTTCTACCTGTGTGGCCGCAGAGGTTGCATCCTCTTTGCTCCCTGACTTGAGTGATCAGATGGACAAAATAATTAGCAAAGTTAGGGAGGAGGTATGTTAGCTGATGGTAAAGCTGGGGTTAAGAGTGCTCTTCAGATTGGAATCAGTTGGAAAAATGGATCATACTTGCTATTGACAAAATTACAGAGAAATGAGAAGCTGGCAAGGGGGTGAGCTATTTCCTGGAGGGTGGTTTGCTATTGTGTATCCAACCAAAGGATGTGTGCACCCTCAGTCAGCAACCCCATTTCCTGGGATTTATCCTAAATCTAAGGCAATGATCAGACCAGTGGAAAAAAAATTTACATAAGATGTTCATCACACAGTTTGTAAAAATAAAAAATTAAACCCTCAGTTTCACCGAAAAGGAATTGGTAAAATTTCACATAACCATGCTGTGGTACCCAATGAAGCTACACTAAAAAAATAGGGTGTAGATGGGGAGAGGGGAGTATAAGGATACTAAAAGATAATGTAGAAAAGAAAATACAATTTTAAAAAATATTAAAAAATAAAAAAAATAGGATATAGATATAAATTTGACATGCAAGGATGCCTACCACATATTAGCTAGAACAAGAAGGTTCCAAAGAAGTCTATTATTTCATTTCTGTAAGACTGCCTCTAAATATGTTCATTTGCATATAAGAATTTCTGCTAATACATAAACCAAAATCTTAACAGTGATTAATCTTTGAATGGTGTGGGATTACAGTCCTATCAGTTTACTCTCGGTTATGCTGCAGTAACAGAGAACCCCCAGACCTATGGTCACCCCTGCTCATGGCACTGTGGTTGGCTGCCCCTCTGCCCAACATCTCCACTCGAGGGCCCAGGCTGACGACACAATCTCTGCCTGAACACTGCAGGTCTCTGTGGCAGAGAGAGACGGCGGACCACCCACTGGCTCTTACAGCGTAGGCGAGTCTCTTGGTCCTTCCCAGATTCAACAAGGCAGAGACAGAAAATCCCCCACAGGCCCTCAGGAAGGGCCACTCGAGGGAGGGAGGTAAGCATTTCGACCAATAACGCAGTCTACTACACAGTCATCCTTGTCGTAGTCCGTTTGGGCTGCTATAACAAAAACACCATAGACTGGGTGGCTTGAACAACAATTTATTTCGCATCGTTCTAGAGGCTGGAGCCTGCAAGAGCAAGGGGCCAGCAGATTCAGTGTCCTCTCCGTGTCTTCACACGAGGCAAGGGAGCTCTCTGAGGTCTTTTAGGAAAGGGTACTGGTCCCAATTATGAGGGCTCCATCCTCATGACCTAATCACTGGCCAGTGCTCCATCTCTCAGTACGTCAGCTCAGGGATGAGGCTTCCACGCACGATTTCTCGGGGGGCCCAAACATTCAGTCAACAGCAATTTTATTATTAAAGTCCTTCTCTTTGCAGAACGCAGTTCTGTCCCAGGAAGTGGATGGTGTCACGGAGATGGGACACGTGGGTTCCCATTGTTCAAGCCTCTTCAGGAGAGAAAACACGGACACTGAATCTGAGCTACCCAGCGCCAGGCCAAAATGGCAGCTTCAAGCCTGAGGCATAGGGGCCAGAGAGAGGTGAGGATTTTGCTTAATTTAAGAGACAGGTCAGTCGACCTGGACCCACAGTAAGTATAGTGAGGTAACAGAAAGTTCTGGATGCCCAGAACTTGAGTCAAGTTAGAGAGCCTCTTTGAATGTAAAATGAAAATTATAATAGCTGCCCTGTATACCTCACACTACTTGGCGGGGCGTGGGGAGGCTCAAGGGGAGGGCTCTAAAATTGTCAGTGCTCTTGTAGGAGGAAGGTCTGGTCCTTCAAGCTGTGACCACACACTCAACATATTACATTTTCCCAACTCCTCTCATCACTGAAGTAGTTTGTTCACCCCTTTTAGTAGTGTCCCTGGATTTTTTTAGTAGGGCAGGTGAAAAATGACAATTGAAGCCTCAATGTGGAAGATCCCTTTGAAGGACAAGCTGTGGAAGAAGGCCTGGAGGCAGAGGGAAGCCGCTATGTCCCTTCATGCCTCCTGACCCCAGCCTCTCAGGGTCGGAGGCAGACAATGATTAGAACCACTTACGAAGCATTTAAAAACTAGATTTCTGGACCCTGACGGCATGTGGCTCGGCCGGTCGGGCGCTGTCCCACAAAGCGAAAGGTCACTGGTTCGATCCCAGGCCAGGGCACATGCCTGAGTTGTAAGTTTGGTTTCCAGTAGGGGCACGGACAAGAAGCAACCAATCGATGCTTCTCTCTCACACTGACGTTTCTCTCCCTCTCTTTCTCCCTCCCTTTACCTCTCTCTAAAAATAAATAAATAAAATCTTAAAAAAATAAATTAGATTCCCAGGCTTTACTTCCAGGAGATCCTGATTCGGCTGCAGAGAGGAGGACCAGGCTGAGTCACAGAAGCTGGTCCGTGCCACCCCCACCTGGCCCTGGTTCCTGTCCAGGCTGTCTGCACAGGCCTCGTAAGCAGGGAGCCTGGGCGTCTCAGGTGGCACGAGCCCTGGCCGCTGGGAGAAACCTGAGCGGGCCCAGGTTATCTGATGGCGCACCTGCTCCGGCCCCTGGGCTCACTTCTTGAATATCAAGATCGGGGAAGGCATGGGGAGAGGCTCCCCTGGGCAGCACAGGCCACCCTGCCAGCTGCCCCAGGGCCAGAGGAGGCAGTAAGAAAAACGCCTTCCTCCTTTCTGCTCCCAGCCCCTCAGAACCAGATGTGTCCGCAGCCTTTCATAGTCCGCCTGCACATCCTTAGTGACAATCCGGAAATCTATCTCTTTACATATCTGCCAACGTGGTGGTGAGTTCCTTGAGGGCCGGGACAGGTCTTATTCCTCTGTGCGTGCCCAGCACAGCGCCTGGCACACCAGCAGTGCTTACTGAATATTTCATGAATAAATGAGAGGTAGTAACACTTACTGCGTTACCTTGGGTCACAGAGGGACTTATATTCACACCCATGAGGCGCATGGGAAATGCACGTGCTCACTGCTAAGGGGTGGGGAACCCCATCCACAGTCACCCAGCTGGAGGCTGCGCTGAGCACACCCCAATTTGCAGCTGTACTAAATTACTTTTGGGATCACGGTATTCTTTGATGTGAAAAATTATGAAACCTTTTCACAGGAAAACAGCTTTCTCTCTCACACACCCTGCATACAATTTCTAGGTTAAGAGTATCAGCCCTTCAGAAAGGGAAAGCTCTTTTTATATGGATGAATGCCAATTAATGAACGTAGCTGGAATGATAGAGTTAAAAACTAACATTTTGCAAACCTCGATCTACCCATTGACTTAGACAAGGATTATTGATAGATGCTAAAATCATTGGGTAAATAATTGTCAGGGAACAAGAGGAAATCTCAGCCTAAACTAAGCTTCTTACCCCCAAGTCAGGATTGCACACTCCATGAAGGGGTTCGGACAAAGGGGAGACCCATAGTTAAGACAGGCTCCAGACAGTCCTATTAGGCCATTTAAATAAAAGCGGGTGACCATTTCTGCAAGTAAACGGCTCTGGGTCTGTTCTGAATTCTCCTCTCCCCTTTTTCTGCGCACACCCCCCTCCCGCGGCCCACCTTCACTCTCTGAAGGGAAAGGCTGCAGGGAGAGGGGACGGGGGAGGAAACCCAGGAGGCTCCTCACACCGCAACCGTACCCTGGTTGCCATAAGAGAAGGGGCAAGGCTTGCTCTGACCTTTCCCACTGTTCTCAGGGTCCAGCAGGCCGCTGTGCTAGATACACACATGGGCCTGCCAGCATAGCTCTGTCCCTTCTGTGTCCTGTCCTGTATTGTAGGGTCCGGAAGCCTGAGAGCTCGATTCCTCGGAGTCTCTCCCCAGCCAGGACTCGCTTTAGAGGCCACTGGTGAGAGGCACTTGCAGAAATCACTACCCTTTCTCTGGCAGTGGAGGGCGCACTTGATACCAGTTCCCGGGCCGGAAGGGTCCTCCCACCCACCTCACTGCAGGTGGTCCCCTGAGGATGCCAGGCCCGAGCAATGACCAGAACCGAGACAGCGCCTGCCAGGGGAGATGTCTGTAGTGTCAGCCCAGCCCCAAGCCCACCTGGGATGCAGGGACATCTGTCACTCTCCTGGCACCGGGGAAGGGGTTTTCTGCTGCCAGGCCTCTTGGAGTCGAGGTAGAAGGGTCAGCAACAGAGAGTCCAGCACAGCCAGGCCTTCCCAGGAACACCGAAGACCCCTGGAAAAGCAAGAGGCCTGGCTGTGACTGCCTCATCTTACCGATCGCGGTGCCTACCGTCCACCAGTGCCACCGGCACCCACAGGCCCCTCCCCATCGGTTTTCCTCACTCCTCCCAGGTGTGTGATCTGTAGCCAGGGCTTCCTGGGATGCCTAACCACCCCGCCTCACCCGCAACACACCTGTGATCCAGCAGCAACAGGCCCTGCTCCAGCAGCGCGTCCACCTCCTTGCTCGCTCCGAACACGTCCCACAGGGTCAGCTGGGGCTCAAACTGCTGCCAGTGCTGGGGCGACCAGAAGGGGCAGAGGGGCAGGGACCACAGGGTAGGTAGCTGGGGGGGGCTGCTCTGGGCCGTGTGTCTGGGGGTGTGGTGAGGCGTGAGGAAGGGCCCAGTCCGGTGCAGGACTCTCAGCCGTCTCACCCTCATCCAGGCCAGGCCCAGGCCAGCGGGGCGGCAGGGACGTGGGCACTTGCGCTCCGTGTTCAGGCCACAGCCCAGCTCCCAGCTGAGCCAAGACCCCCTCTGCCACCCCCACTTCCCACGGCTCAGGGTGTGGCCAGGGCTTTGTGGCCCCGACTTCATCCAGAGCAGCCCTGAATGTGATTGATCATCTACTGCACTTCCTATCTGAGCTTTCAGTGCTGCTTAAAAACATTCGAAAACCCTTAATCTAGTCTCTTCCCCTACACGGCGGAGAAAGCTGAAGCTCAGAGAGGTGACAGGGTGTGTGCCCAGGGCTGCAGCAGGAGGGGACGAGAGCCGGGTCTCTGCAGCCCTAGTCTGGGGTTCTCACCATTGCACCACACTGCCCGTTGGTTCTGCCCATCGGGCCTTGGCTGGACTAGAGCCCGCCCTCCAGCTGCCATCCCCAGAGGAATAGGAGGGGAAGGGTGTGTGTGCATAGAGAAAGAGAGAAAATGATTATACATGGCTTAGGAGGAAGCAGTGTGCCCCTTGACCCCTTACCTGGTGAGTGATCCCCACGTCTGTGCGTAGCCCCATTGCCAAAACTTCCTCCAGCCTGAAAGGAAAGCCATCAAGGGATCTTGGAGAAGAGGCCTGTGCTTCTCCCAGTCTTCAAGCCCAATGCTGGGATGTGTGATGGGGGGCTTTTGAGGATCAGGCAGCATGGGGCATGGCAAGGCAAGAAATACAAAGGTGCACATGGAGGTGGTCTGGGGTGCAGAGGAGCACGGGGAGGAGTCCTGTGCCCTCAGATGCTCACAGCTCCAGGTTGTCCAGGGGGAGGCGCTTCCGGGTACCGTGACCAAACAGCATCACCTCCTTCATCCAGTTGTCAGGCTCCAGGGTCTGGATCCGAGCCTCCCGAGCAAGGCCTCCAGCCCCTTGGGGTATAAACCGTCCATGGGCCCCTGATAACATCAACAACCACACCCGCTTTAATATCAGCTAACACTGTGTGCCTGTCAGATGTTAAGTCAGTGGTTCTCAAAGGGCGATCCCTGGACCAACAGCATCTAATGTGCTAGAGACATAAGTTGTTGGGCCCTCCTCCTGCCCTGTACAATCAGAAATTCTGGGGGTGGGGCCCAGCCACCTGGGTTCTAGCCAGCCCTCCAGTGTGCCAAAGGCCGAGAGTCGTGGTATCAGGCATTATCAAGCACCTCAAAGAACATACTCAACCGTTCTAAGGCATCCTTTTTTTTTTTTTTTGCCACACTTTAATTATGAGGAAAGAGAGGCTTGGAGAGGTTAATAAGTGGCTCAAGATCACACAGCCATGACATTCCACTCCTGAGTCATCCCTTCTATAGTTCACAGAGGACTTACCAGGCCCCACGCCAATGTACTGACCACACTGCCAGTAAGTCCAATTGTGGGTGCTAAGCGCCCCCTGCGGGGAGGGAATAGTCAGTGCAGAGCAAAGCTGGCAGCCCCGTTGCTGCTCAGGGAAAGGGCCCCTGGTTAGAATGTCTCCCCACCTCAGGTCTCAGGTGTCAGGTCTGGGTCCCGCCAGAGACCCTTCTCCCCTGGGGCCGCTTTCCCACGTCACACCTTAGCCTGCCCACTCCCCACCTTCAGCCATCAGCCCCAGGACTCACATTCCGGGCGAAGTTGGAGACCTCATACTGGCGGAAGCCAGCCTCCTGAAGAATTGCCCTGCCCTCCTGGTACATCTCAGCAGCGAGCTCAGGGTCTGGGGCAGGAAGGGCACCCTGCTGCACCTGGGTAAAGAGGGCAGTGCCCCGCTCCAGGGTCAGCTGGTAGAGGGAGATGTGATCGTCGCAGTGGCGCAGCAGGTCCTCGAGCTGCCCGAGCCACGGCCGCACCTGCTGTGCCGGCAGCCCCAGCATCAGGTCCACAGACACACGCCCGGGGAACAGGCAGCGGGCCTCTGCCAGTGTCCGCAGAGCATCGCTGGCCGAGTGTGTCCGCCCCAGCAGCTGGAGCTCAGTGTCATCCAGGGACTGGGGAGAGAGGGCCTGGTGTAAGCGCACAGGCCAGTTCAGAGGGAAACAAAAACACTTGACTGACCTCACTGCAGACACAGATACAGGTGAAAACGCAGAACACGGCAGGCGGCTGAAGGCGGAGGGTCAAGCCAAAACTAGGGGTAAAGCATTCACCAAAGGGTCACGAGGTGCCAAGCATTTTTATGCAGTGCCTAATTCATCCTCATAGCTCTCCAACATTCGCTCCATTTTACAGAGAGGAAAACTGACTTTCAGAGATGTTATGTAATTTGCCCAAGTCCCTACAGTGGCAATGTCAGACCTGGAATTTAGGACTGTCTGGCCCAAAGCCAAGAGTCTTTTTTAATTTTACCTTAAACCTATAAAAAATTTGAAAAAAATATTTCAATAAATACCTTCATCTAGATTTACCAACTAACATCTTGCCTCATTTGCTTTGTCTCTCTATAAATATACACACATACTAGTATGATGTTGAATCATTTGAGAGTAAGTGACAGAGCAGCGCTGTCCAGAAGAACTTTCTGCAATCATGTCCTATATCTGCAAGGTCCAACACAGTAGGCATGAACCACACGTAGCTATTTAAATTTCAAGATAATTAAATTTAAATAATCACATTCCAAGTGTTTACTGGCATGTGGTCAGTGCAGATATAGAACATTTTAGTAGAATATGGTAGCCACTGACCACATTTGCAAACTGGTTGTTTAAGTTTAATTAACTTAAATATTGTACCCTTTCACCCTTAAATACTTAAGTGTGTACCTCCTAACAACAAGGACATTCTCTTATATAACCACAATCCAATTACAGAGTTCAGGATATGTAACATTGATACAATGCCATTATCTAATAGGTAGTCATAGTCAAATTCGGTCAACTGTCCCAATAATGTCTACCGTTCTAATTTCCTCTTCCCACCCCACTCCAGGATCCAGTCGGGGTTCACACATTGCACTTAGCTGTCATTGTCTCTAATTTCCTTTAGTCTGGATCCTTAGCTTTCCTTTGACTTTCATGACACTGACATTTTTGAAGAATAAAGGCCAGTTGTTTTTCAAAATGTCTCTCAATGAAGAAATTCTAGAGATCTGCTGTACATCACTGTCCTTATAGTTAACAAATGTTTAGTGTATAATGTATACTAAGAATTTGTTAAGAGATTAGGTCAATTTCCTGTTATCTGTTCTTACCACACACACAAAAAGTCTCTAAATTTAGGTTTTCCTGAGGATATATATGCATTTGCGGCCAGACTATGTCAGAAATGGTGTGTCCCTTTCAGTATGTCCCGTCAAAGCTCTGAGCCCTGTGGTCTCTATGGTGAGCAGTACATGTGTTACAAGTAGGGAAAGCAATCCTGGATTTGAAAACACAAGGGTTCAACCTGAGAGGAATACATTTCTTTCTATTTAAAAACCTTTAATGGCTTCCCTGACACCACTAGGCAAAACCCAAGCTCCCTAGCAGGGCGCTGAAGGCTTCCTTGTCTCCAGTCTCTTTAGTCACAAAGAATGACTCACAGCTCCCCCAAAACATGCAAGCCTCTGCCATATCCGGTGTCTTTTCCTCCCACACCTTCTCCCTGGGTGAACTACACCTCCTCATTCAAACATCACCTCTCCAGGAAGGTTTCCATGATTTCATCAGACTGAGATGCCCTTCAGTCTGTACTCTGAAGGCCTTTTGCGGAGACCCCCTTTACCATGCTGCAGTGATCTGGCTACCTGCTTGCCTCCTCCTGCATCTCCAAACACAGAACAAATCTTTTGTGAGCATCCACTGTGTGCTAGGCCTTATGGTGGATGCTTGGAATACTGTGATGAACAAAAAGGCATGCATGACCCCCTCCCCCCCGGCAGAGACTGAGGTCTAGCACAGAAGCAGACAATTACATAATTACACAAGTGTCACCATACACTTTTCAGTACCTACTAGGCCCTGGCACCCAGAAGGAGCTCAGTATATGAGTGTGACCAGAGGAGAGACAGCACTGAAGGGCTGGGTGCCCTGGGATGGGGTGGGTAAGATCGGTTACCTGGAGGCCGATGGACAACCTGTTGACTCCTGCTGCCCCAAATGCCGCCAGCCTCGAGGCTGGGGCAGAAGTGGGGTTGGCCTCCAATGTGACTTCGGAGTCTGCAGGCAGGTGAGTTGCCTGGGCCACTGCCTCTAGGACAGCAGCCACAGTGTGGGGACTGGCCAGACTGGGGGTGCCCCCACCAAAGAACACAGACTCCACCCTGGGTAAGGAAGATGGAGAGGATGAGACCTGGGAGAGCCCTCCCGGATGCCTGCAGCACCTGCCCCATCCACTCCCTCCAAGCCCTGCCTCTGGCCCCCTGGTACCCACCGCTGCACCCCGCTGAGCTGCAGCAGCGTCTGAGCCTCAGTCACCAGGCAGCTCCGCACAGCTGCCTCCTCCACGCCGCGCGGGATGTACTTATTGAAGTTGCAGTAACTGCAGCGCTTCTCGCAGTAGGGCCACTGGGGGCAAAGAGTGTTTGAAGGGGGCGAGAGGTGACTCCAGACTGCCCTGGGTTCACTTCCAGGGTTCAGTCGCACACATTCCTATCCCCATGCCAGGGCGGTCAACAGTGCCTACGTCATCTGAGCCACGCAACCCCCAAGACAGGTGGGACTGGTTATTATTATATCCATTTCAATAACACAAAACTTGAGTTCCGAAGGGAAATAACATGGTCAAGGGTCACTGAGCTGTTGAGCACCAGAGACTAGGTCCTTGGACCCAGACATTTCCCTGCCAGGACACCGGGTCCCATCCAAGGCCTCGCCTGGAGGGCGAGGGAGGTCGGCAGGTGGGCCCACGCGTGTCAAGTCACTATGTAGGTTCCGGCCAGAGCGGCCACGCCCCCGAAGTTCGGCCTCCTCCTTCCCACTCACGTGGACGTAAAGGGCCGCGCGCTGGCTCGGGGTCACAGGATTCAGGGATCTTCCCGCGCCCTCCGCGCGGCGGCGCTTCTGGGCTGCTGTGGCCGCCGCCGCCCGGGCCCCCGCCCGGGCCCCGGGAAGCGTCATGGTGCGCAATGCGGTGGGACAGCCTGGTGCACGGGGAATGCGAACCCGAGACGCGTTCAGGGCGCACAATGCGCGCAGAGACGAATCGGTTGGGCCACCCCAGCGGAAGAGGGGCTGCGTGACCGAGCGCCGCGTCTGACAACTTGCCGGGAGGACCCGGGAACTCGGGTCTGCGGCGCCACCTGCCGGGCACCTATGCGCTCACCGCAGTCACCCGGCCTTTCCCGGGCGGCTGGGAGAAGGATGTGGGGTGAGTTGCCCGCTTTTGGCGCCTTGTCCCGGGCCGAGTTCCTTGACCCATCTAGGAATTCTTAGTTCGTTCAGTGAATGCCTTCACAGATTATGTGCCTGGCAGAGAGCTGGGCGCTGGGGACATCAGAGGCATAAGACCAGGTCACAATACAAGTGCATAAGGTAGGAGAAGCAAACCAAGAAGAGACAACAGGCAACATATATTAATTCACCTGCCGGATACCAGGGCATCCTGCTCTGTGCTATGGGGCAGCATGTTGCAAAGGCCTCAGAGTCAGTGTGGGAGGAGACGACACTTGGGCTGGATACTGAAAGGGCAGAAACTGCCAGGGGAAATCGCTAGGCATCTCCTAGGTCAGGCCACCTCCGCCCCTATGCCTGCTGGAGGGTGAGTCAGGGATGGTATCTGTGGGAGAAACAGAGTTCAGGTGGAGGGCCAGGAAAGCAGGCACCTTAACTGTCTCATGAAGTTGAAAGATCATGGGTTTTGTAGTTAGAAAACTAGGTTCTAATTCCAGCTGTGTGACCTTCTGCAAGACATCGAGCCACCTTCAGTTTCTGTTTCATTATTTGTGAAATGGGGCTAATGTCTACTTGACACGGTTGTTGGGAAGATTTCAAGAAAATGCCTGGCACCCAGAATATCCTAAACTTATGTTCGTTTTCTAAAAAGTGAAGAGCCTGACTTGTGTGGCTCTGTGGGTTGGGCATCATCCCGCAAACCAAAAGGTTGCTGGCTGATTCCCGCTCAGGACACATGCCTGGGTTGTGATCCAGGTCCCCAGCTGGAGGCATGCTAGAGGCAACCAACCGATGTTTCTTTTGCACAAGGGGAGCGGACACACTAGGGGATGAGTATTCCAAGCAGGGAGAACTGTTTTTATTTCTTGGATCAAGTTATAGCCTGCTTTATCTGGTTCTGCCCACCAGAGAAGCCCAGGTTCATTGATGAAAAAATAATAATAAAAATTAGGTTGCTTGAGGGGGTGGTGGGGGAAGGAGAGAGTAGGGAGATGGGGGGTGATAGCTAAAAGGTAGGGAGTTTCTTTCTTTCTTTTTTTTTAACATATGAAGGATTTTTTTCCTCTACCACCATTTATCCCCCCATACCCTCTTACACTTTCACCGATCCCCCTCCCCCCTGGAGTTTCTTTTTAAGGAGATGAAAATGTTTAAAATTGACTGTGATGATGGTGGCGCATATCTGTGAATATACTAAAAGTCAATGAATTGTACACTTTGTTTTAAAGAAAGAGTAAGATTTTTTAAATTGATTTTTTTTACATTTTTAAAAATTTATGTATTGATTTGAAAGAGAGAAAGGAAAGGAGAGAAACATCAATTTGTTGTTCCACTTCTTTATGCATTCATTGGTGGGGTTTTTTTAAAAAGATTTTATTTATTTATTTTTAAAGAGAGGGGAAGGGAGGAGAAAGAGAGGGAAAGAAACATCAATGTGCAAGAGATTCAGCTGTCTCTGGTACAGCCCCAACAGGGGACCTGGCCCGCAACCCAAGCAAGTGTCCCGATCAGGAATTGAAGCAGTGACCTTTCGGTTCACAGGTCAGCACTCAGTCCACTGAGCCACACCAGCCAGGGCTATTGGTTGATTTTTATATGTGTCCTGACTGGAATCAAACTCACAACCTTGGCATATCAGGATGATGCTCTAACTGAGCTGGTGGGCCAGGGTTTTATTGATTTTTAGAGAGGGAGGAGGAGAGAGAAATTGGTGGGGGAGACAGAGAGAGAAACATCGTTTTGTTGTTACACCTATCCAAACATTCATTGGTTGGTTCTTATATGTGCTCTGACTAGGGAATCAAGCCCGCAGCCTTGGCATATCAGGACAATGCTCCAACCAACTAAGCTACTTGGCCAGGGAGAATGGTACACTTTAAATGCATGCTTTGGATGGTCCATGAATTATATCTCAAAGAAGCTGTTATAAAAAAAGAACATTTCTTGCTGGACTAATCTGGTGACAATGTGAAAAAGAAATAAGTATAGTTTTTAAAAATATGAGATACCAAAGGGATTAGGTGAGGATTAAATTAAGTAGATAATGCAAACCAAAGTGCTTAGCACCATCATTGCTAAGGAACAGGTCTGACAGTGCTAGTTTCCATTTGGCTTCTTCACTTTTCCATCCCATAGTAGCTGCCAATAGATCACACCAGCAAGAGATTGGCCAAAGCAAACAGAGAAGCTTTATGTCAAATCACAAAAAACAGAGGAGGGGAATGTGGGAGAAGGTCAGGGAGGGCCAGGGAGGGTCTCCTCCCCTTTATTCACAGATTTAGATGCTCTTCCATCTGCTGTCGAAGCTTGAATTTCTGGATCTGGAGGAAAGAAAGGAGTGAGTCCCGGGCTTGTGGCCTCCGCCAGCTGGGGAGACCAACTGCCTTGGTTTGCCCAGGACTGAGGGGTTTCTTAGGCTAAAGCCAGGGAAACTTCGGGGCAAACCAGGATAATGTGACTAGTTGGTCATCATACTGCCAGACTCTTACCTGTTGCTGAGGGAAGCAGAGGTGGGGCTGCCTGGCCTTCTGGACTTAGGCCCCAAGCTACCCTCCTCCCCCCCCCACCTTCTTCACCGTACACACCTTTCCTGAGATGGTGAGGGGGTAGTCAGTGACAAACACGATGTATCGGGGAATCTTGAAGTGGGAGATCTGTGGACCGGAGGGAGACAAAACATGAGGCTGAATGAAGGTCACTAGGGTTGGAGGAGGGGACAGTGGGCTGAGTGGTTGACAGGGAGAGGGGGTTGAAGAACCGAGCGCCATCTTCTGGCGGTGCGTCGAGGCTCCCACCTTCCCTTTGCAGAAAGCCTTGATCTCCTCTGGCGTGGTCTTCTCCCCATCCTTCAGCCGAATGCAGGCGCAGATTTCCTCCCCCATCCGGTTGTCCTTCACTCCCACCACCTTCCAGAGGCACGGACAGATGTCAGACATCCCCATCCCCATCTGTGTTTCCTGCTCCTGGGGGCTCACCAGGGCTGGGTGCCTCACCTGCACTTCCTGCACCTGTGGGTGTGTGTATAAGAAGTTCTCCAGCTCTGCAGGGTAGATGTTCTCACCGCCCCGGATGATCATATCCTTGGAGCGGCCTATGATTCTGCAGAAGCCCTGCTCATCTATGGTGGCGATGTCTCTGTAAGGAAAGGCCAGAAATGGCCTCCCTGCCTCGGCCAGCTGGCTTGCTCACTCATTCATCAGGCATTTATTGAGTACCTAATACATGTTTTGCACTGCTCTAGATTCTAGAGGATACAACATAAAGAAGACATTCCCTGAAACTTACAATCTAGTGGGGGAGGCAGAAAAAACAAACCAGTCCCATAACATAATCTCTCTCTTCACATATCTACACATATGCTTTTTGTGGTTGGCTTTTTCTCCATCATTCAGGTCTCAGCTCAAACATTTCCATCCTAAGGAGGCCATCTCTGACAACCCAAACTTTAGAGAAGCTCCCCTCCCTATTAGCAGCACTTTCGTTCCTCTGATCCTATTTTACTTTCTTCATTTTTATCAATGTCTGAAATTATCTTATTTGTCTCTGTCTCGCTCCACCAGACATGTGAGAAGTAAGAGTGGGATCCTTCTCATCTTGCTTCCCCTTGGACCACCAGCACCTAGAACAGTGCTGGCACGGGACAAGTGCATAAGAATTTGCTGAATTAACAAACGAGTGACTAAACCTTGGCTCGGATTTTGTAGTGCACCGTCCTGGCCACTCTCATCAGTACCGCGTTTGAGCCTTTCAGGAGCCCTATGTACTGACTGTGGTCACCGCATTTCACACACTGTGGAGATCAAGTCCGTGAAGGGCCCATCTTGACACATATACTCTCCCTCTTCTAGTTTAGTGTCCCCAGCTCAGCCTCAGGACCCCCAGCTTCCCCTCAGCAGCCAAACCCTCCGCCTCGCCCTGCACCCTTACCCTGTCCGGTACCACTTTTGGAGTCCAACCACTTTCTCATTCTCCTGGGGATCATCCCAGTAGCCCAGCATGACGCAGTACCCTCGGATCCACAGCTCTCCGGGTGTGTTCAGCTCTACTGTGGCCCCTGTCTCCATGCTCACGATCTGGGCCTGGGACAGGGCGGCTTCAGGCTGGGGTCTCCCACCCTCTCATATGCGGATGGCGTGGGGGCATTCAGGAATGGGTGAGAGCTTTGCCTTTCCTCTCCCCAGTAATAAGGCCCCTCTGGCTCTGCCCCGGCTGATCCAGGGAAGGGAGACAAAGGCCAGAATGGATCCATCACCAGTCAGACACCTAAGCTGGGCATGCAAGAGCAGGGGAGGCCCATGCCAGGTATGCCGAGGAAACGGGCTGGACAGGAGCTGCCGCAGGGAAGGCCTGTGGAAGGTCAGGCAGGCTGAAGAATTATAAACTGTGCAGAAGAAAAGGGAGTGTTCTTGTACATCCCATTAAGCAGCAGATAGAGAAGCCAAAGAGGGTAGTGTGGCTGGGCTACGTGAACAGGAGAGGTGACAGAAAGGCAGAGTCTGAAAAAGACAGGAGAAATGAGCTGCAGCCACAGGGAAAGAAAGGCTTAGCCTCTGTGTGCCTCAGCATCTGCATCTGTGAAGTGGGGAGAGCTGAGCTGGCCCTGTATGCTTCGCAGGCGGGCATCCCGCAGAGAGGGGCAGTGAGGCTGTCGGAAGCAGCTAACGCTGCTGCACGCTCGCTCGCTCGCTCACTCCGGGGAGGAGGGCAGGAAAGATCTGCACCCCGGTGGCGGTGGCGGTGGCGGTGGCTCGAGGGGAAGCAGCGGTTTGGGACACTGGCAGTGTGACCCCTTGTGACCCCAGAGGCGCGAGAGCACAAGGAGGCAAGGGAAACTACGCGTGGGCTGGCATAAAGCACCAGCGTTGGAGCAGGAAAGGAGTCACAGCTGGGAATTTGAGAGTGAGAGATGATCTGGGGCAGCCTTGAGGTGCAAGGGACCCCCAAAGGGACAGGCTGCTTGGGAAATTCAGTGTTTATGCTAAACGAAAAGAGGAGCTCTGCTGAAGTGAGGGTAGGGGGTCTATGGGAGAGAAAGAGCTGTGTAGGGGGAAAAAAAAATCTCTGTGCTTTGGCTCCTCTTCGAGGCTGTCCTGGCTGCCCCGAAACAGACAGTGGGGCTTGGCAAAAACACACCTCAGACAGGAAGGGAGGCTTCAGAGAAGTTCAGCTGGCAGCTGCTCCCGGCCACAGCTCAGCTCTGCCTCCCAGGCCTCAGCCCACAAAGAAAGCCTCAGGCCAGGCCTGGGGAAGACCCTGCTGCAGGGAAGGGGGCTGCTCTCTGCAGGAAGCGGGGTCTGGGGGTCCTGATCTGGGACTCACCTCTGTGTGAGGCATGATTCTGCCCACAGTTTGTTCCTTTATCTCCAAGGAGTCCTCAGGAAACTGCATAAAGGTCACAGGACTGTTCTCTGTGGTTCCATAAGCAACCTAGAAGGCCCAGAAAGAATGTTTGAAGGGAGCTGGCAGACTGCAGAGGGATGGGGTGGGCTATCCTGATAGACTGGAAGGAACTCAAGGGAAAGTAAATGGTGGAGAAAGAGGCACAATTGGTAGGGGTCAGGGGTCAAGAGGCAGAGGTGCTGTGCCATGGAGCTGATAACTCAACAAACAGGGGCCCCAAGATGTGAAATTGATAGCAGGGAAGGCATTCTCTTCTCACCAGGGCTCTCTCAGTCTCTGTCTCCTTGCAGCAGCCACATACTACGATCTGTGGCTCCCAGCATTACCCACACCCAGCCTTCTCTCCCCATTCCTGGGTTGCCTTAGCCACCCATCCTGATTTCAGGCCACAACACCCCCTCCCCCTCCCTTCCAAGCCAAAGTTCCCATAAACTTGATAAGAAAGCCAGCCTGCCTTGGTCCAGCTGGGAGCTGCACATACATAACCCCACCCCCACCCCATCCACTGAAACCTGGGACAAGTGCCTGGTCTTGGAGTGGGTGTCCCCAAGCTCTGGAGAGTTCCCTGTGAATTTTATTTTCATCCAAATAAAAATACAGCCAAAGCAAGGATTCTAAAAGCCAGTGGTCCCTCATGCCCCACCCCTCTAGTGGTTAGAACATCCTGAGCAACAGAAAACCAGAAACCAGCCTTGGCGGAGCCTAAATACCATCAGGGAATATTCTAGGCCAAGTATGACCCCCATCTAGAGGCAACTGGGTGAAGGGGGCTTAAATGAGGGGTAAGCCTCCACACCTGGGCACTAAGGGAGGGAGTCACTCTGCATTCTATGTCCTTTCCAGTCAGCCAAGATGCCAGATCTTTGTCCTCTATGACTTCCCCCATCCCCAATTTCCTCTGTGTCAGCTGTCATAGCTCATACACAGCTGGGATCTGTGAAACCTGGGGTCCAGTTCCTCCCTCACCCCCAACACAGACAGCATTCCCTGCCAGGCAGCCCAGAGCTGAGACCCTGATTGCCCACCCTCCCCTTTCCACAGGAATCTGGACAAGGTGGCTGGCAAGTAGACACACGGAGGCCTGGTCAGCTGAGGCGGGGCCGCCCACAGGACCTGAGCTGTCCGGGGCTTGTCCCTCGTAGCCAGGACCGCGGCCCCCTTCCCGGCCCAGCCCTCCCCAGTCCTGGGGCCACTGCCCAGGTGTGGCCTCTGCCAAGTACATCTTGGCGCCACTCTGGCCACCACCCTGGGGATGGGAATGAGGGAACGGGATATTTTAAGAAGATTAAAAGGGGGTGGGGGCGGGACTGTGCTTGTTCAGTTGCCGGACTCCCTGCCTGTGGTCCTCAGGTGTGTTTGGGGTTCTCTGGGTCACTCGCCGCCACCACCACCACCACCGCGCACACACGCGCGCGCACACAATTTTCTGGTTAGGCTTCGGCCATGGAAAAAGGAGAGCGGTTGCAGGGGAACTCAAGCTTCGGGCTGGTAGAGAGGAGCCCGAGGCAAGTCCAGGGGTGGGGACGGAGCTCCCATCTCCCTGGGGCTGGCGGCGTCTCTAGCCAGAAGGGGGAGCCCGACGCCAGGGCGGCTCGCTCGCTCGGCCGGCGCCGCACAAGAGCCCCATTAAAGCGCCGCCGGCTGGCCAACCGCGGCGAGACTTGCGTCCGGCTGTCCAGCCCCGCTTCCTCTTTCCCCGGGTCCAGGGCACCGGGCCCACTGTGTATGGGGGGCGGGGGGAGGCGGCAACGAAGCTCGACCTTGAGCAAACAAATACGTTCACAGACCGCCTCCATCCCTGCGGTGTAATCACAGGGCTCTAACCAACGACCCCTCCCACCTCCGCCCCATCAATCCCCCGCCCCAAAGCATGGGGAAAGCAGCTAGGAGGTCTGAAAAGGAGCGGGACCTGAGAGCAGGGGATGAGGTTGAGGGCCACGGTCCCAGCCCCGCACTGTTGCCAGCGGAGGGAGGGGGGGCCCCGCCCCCTCCCAGTGGAGGGAGGGGGTGCATCACCGGGCGGGAGGGAGTTAAGCCCGGTGGCCTCGACGCTCCACGTAGGAGCTGGCTCCCACTGTCGGTTGCGGTCAGGGCCACCATATAAATAGGGCGGGAGACCCGAGCGCCAAGGACTTCCCGCTGCCCGTGTCCCGCCGCTGCCGCTGCCCCCCAGCCCGGCCCCAGGCGTCCGGCCACGGCCATGGCCTGCCCTATCCTCTTGCTCAGCCTCGGCCTCCTGGCCGGCCTGCTGCCGACGCTGGCAGCCTGCCCCCAGAACTGCCACTGCCACGGCGACCTGCAGCACGTCATCTGCGACAAGGTGGGACTGCAGAAGATCCCCAAGGTATCAGAGAAGACCAAACTGCTCAACCTGCAGCGCAACAACTTCCCCGTGCTGGCTGCTAACTCGTTCCGGGGCATGCCTAACCTGGTGTCGCTGCACCTGCAACACTGCCAGATCCGTGAGGTGAGCGCTGGGGCCTTCCGCGGCCTCAAGCAGCTCATCTACCTGTACCTGTCCCACAACGACATCCGCGTGCTGCGTGCGGGCGCCTTCGACGACCTGACCGAGCTCACCTACCTCTACCTGGACCACAACAAGGTGACTGAGCTGCCCCGAGGGCTGCTCTCCCCGCTGGTCAACCTCTTCATCCTGCAACTTAACAACAACAAGATCCGAGAGCTGCGCGCCGGCGCCTTCCAGGGAGCCAAGGACCTACGCTGGCTCTACCTGTCGGAAAACGCGCTCAGCTCCCTGCAGCCGGGCGCCTTAGACGACGTGGAGAACCTCGCCAAGTTCCACCTGGACAAGAACCAGCTGTCCAGCTACCCCTCGGCTGCACTGAGCAAGCTGCGCGTGGTGGAGGAGCTGAAGTTGTCCCACAACCCCCTGAATAGCATTCCTGACAACGCCTTCCAGTCTTTCGGCAGATACCTGGAGACCCTCTGGCTGGACAACACCAACCTGGAGAAGGTGAGCTCCTGGCTGCAGAGCTCTGCCCTGGCTCCTTCTACTCTGCCTTGAGGCCCAAGGATCCAGGGCCACAGCTGGGCACAATTCCCTCTCCCCTAAAATTGCCTCTGTCCCTCTGGCCATCTCCAAAGTGAGGAGCACTGTCCCTTATCTTCTCACATCCCTACCCTGCCCTGCTGCCCCCGTCCCCAGTCTCAACCACTGCCCTCCTAGCATTTCTACTTATGCACGGAGCTGGAGCTGCTCTGGCCCCACCAATGGCCCCTAGGAGGTATGGCCAATGCTCCCACACCCCCCGCTGTGGGCAGCAGCCACCTCTTCCTGTTGGGCCTTCTGCCCCTCCTCTGCTGTTTTTCCCGTCTCCAGTAAACCTACCACCCCATAAAGGAAGGTTTGTTTATTGAGGAGGCTTCCAGAGGAGCTGGGCGGATCGGGCCCACAAAGAGACCCTGTTCCTGGAGGGGGGCGTGCATGTATGCTGTGGGGGGGGGGATGCTGGGGACTGAGGGGGGAGTAAATACCCAAGGAAGACCTCCTCCACGCCCCCTAGAGGCCCTGGTGGATTCCACCCGCCCGTCCCCACCACCCTCTCCATGCACATATGCCACTGCATTCTTGGCTCCATTTCAACGGAATGGGGACCAGAAACCAGAGTCTCCCCCAGAGTGCAGGCGCGGCACCCAAGAGCTCTGCGAAGAGCAAAGGCAAGAGCCACACATCATTGTCAACTTTTGGCACGGGTCCCCAGGTGTCTCCTGAGAAGGAAGACTAAATGTACCTCACTGTCCCCAGGCTACTGACTGCCCTTGCCCACTCCAGTCCCCAGACCCATCTCCTGGCTGCAACCTCATTGAATCCTTTCTCCCTTGTGATGCTCAGCACCTGGCCAGATGGCGCTGCCTTGGGTCTGGGGGGAATCTCTTCTTGGAGCTGAAAAATTGCTCCGGTACAAGGGTTTCTTCCGGGAGGTTTGGGCAGGCACCGGGGCAAGGAGGAGGAGATAGCCGTCAGAACAGCCCGGTTACCAGAGAACTGCACACCCCTCCCTGGCCACAGGCATGGAGATGAGGACAAAACCGTACCTTGGAGGCAGCCAACCTTCGTCTACATGGATGGAGCCTGCCCTTCTATAACCAGAGTCCTCTGTGCCTCCTGTCCCCAGTGCCAGAGCAGCCTTTTAGGGGGCAGCAGAACAGGGGCGACAGACTGATCTGGGGCAGGGGAGGCCACGCAGGATCTGGGACGCCTGGGCCAAGATGTGGGCACCAATAGAACGTTTCCTCTAGCGCTGTCCAACCTGGCCAGAGGCTCCGCCAGGGAGTCTCCACAAATAGCTTCTGGCAGGCAGCGAGGGGGCAGTGAGGACAGAGCTGGGGAAAGTCCCAGAACTCCGGGGCTGTGGGGAGCCTGGGCCCACTGCCCATCCCACCAAACACTGACCAGCTTCACCATATGCCAGCTTGGGCCGCTGGGGCCACACTCTGGCTGCCTCCCCAGAGGCCGTGTTTGCGCAGAAAGGGCAGTGCCAGGGACAGAGGAGCTGGGCGTGGTCCTGCAGCTACTGTTTACTCACTACTGTGACCCTGGGCAAGGGGCTTAACTTCTCCCTCCCATCCGCATGTTGGAAATTACGCCAGCTATCTCACAAAGGTGGTTGTATATGTTAACTCATCAGAGACAACTTAGTCACAGTGTGGCATTCCTCGAGGTGCTCCTGCTTATGTTCAGGGAAGGACCCTATGACTCTGGGGCCATAGGGCTGGGAGAGGCTGGACACTGGGGCTGGGGTGCTCATTCATGCCCACCTTACCCCCCAGTTCTCCGACGGCGCCTTCCTGGGTGTGACCACGCTGAAGAACGTCCATCTGGAGAACAACCGCCTGAACCAGCTGCCCTCCAACTTCCCCTTTGACAGCCTGGAGACCCTCACTCTCACCAACAACCCCTGGAAGTGTACCTGCCAGCTCCGGGGCCTCCGGAGGTGAGAGCACCCCTCCCCCTCATCTCCAGAACCCGCCCTCAGGTGACGCAGTGGAGACACACTGGCCCTGCACTAAGATATCCTGGGCGTACGTCCCACATCTGTTATCTGATAGGTGTGGAGTTCTGTGAGTTCCTACATTTGTAAAATGAAGATGACAGCTCCCAGGCTACCCTGGATCCAAGTCAATCCTGGCCCCATAGCTCACTTGTCCCTTCCTCCATCACTGCCACATTTCTTCGCCAGCCCTGGCATCTCTCTGTCTCGCCAGGTGGCTGGAAGCCAAGACTGCCCGCCCGGATGCCACTTGCGCCTCACCCGCCAAGTTCAGGGGCCAGCACATCCGTGACACGGACGCCTTCCGCAGCTGCAAGTTTCCCACTAAGAGGTCCAAGAAAGCCGGCCGCCATTAAACAGGTGGGAACAGGGCAAGCAGGTCCTCATTCCCTCTCTAGAGATTCTGGCAAGTGAGGAAAGTGGCACAGGGCACTCCCTTCCCACAGAGGGCCATGCAGACCCTCCAGTTTTGCAGGGAGAGGAGGGGAATAGAGTGGCTCCCTTCTAAAGGGGACAGTGATCCTGCCCAGAGCTCTCACCATTCTCTCCAAAGTCATCTGGGTTAGTGCAGTCCTGACACCGATCCTTGCCTCACCGCAGGTCCTGATCTAGCCAGTCCTGGCAACTGGTTTCTGCCTTCTGCTGGAGAAACTACTGACCTCTCCACCTCTGACCCCACCTTCTTCCACAGCCTTTGCTGATGCACAGACCTGTCCACAACTAGACCCGTACTGGCAGGGGGACTCGGGATGCCAGCATGTACCCAGCTCCACCATCTCCGGGTGACAGCGAGGGCTCCTTCACACCTGGCCCCCCCACCATGGTTCCTCTCAAAGAAGCTGTTGCCGAGACCCCCAAGCCCTTCAGAACCAGAACTGGGTGGTCATCAGGATGGCCATCCTTCCAGAATCCTCCTTCCGTCTGCTCCCCTTACCCTTCCATTTGGAAATGAACGTCAGATCTTTGCTCTGCTCCTCGTTTCCAGAAAGGATCTTAAGCCTATACTTCAACTCTGGCAGCCCCTGCCTGCCAGGATGCTCTAGCAGGATACTGGTGCTTTGCCAAATATCCCCCATGCTGCATTTCTTCCCCAGATTTCTATAAGTATAAATGTATGTATGTATAATATTTACTCCCCGTTGTTCCCTGTCTCCATGACTCACCAGCTGCTGGTGAGGCCAGACTGCATTTTCTCACATCTGCTTTCTGGAAGGGTGGGCCGAGAGGGTCTACCCCGAGAATCTAGCCTGGGCTCATTCTCACTCCCGTACATCTGTTCTCATCCCAGGCTGGCCTGCCTCCCGCCCACAGCCCCGGCCCCAGCCCCAGCCACCACTCACCACCAAGTCCCTCGCGTTCAGCTTTTTGACAATCATTCGCACCAGCTCGGTGGATACAGGAGACCCACCAATTAAACCTGAATCAGAGAAAAAGGGCTGACACAGTTCCCTCCTCCAGGCCCAGTGGACCCCCTTCGCCTGCAGCTCTTACTAGGGAAGAACATTGCGTCTCCCCTGACCCTGGACCTGTTCCTACACTTGGTGGCTGGCCTTGGGCTGGTGTCCAGGGTTGCTGGGAATTTGCCTCCCTCCCATCCACATTTCTACGATGACCTTCTTTCCCCCTAAATAAAGGACTGGGTGTACGTACATCTAGCTCACCCGGGCCAATCCTGGCCTGGCCACCCTTCACCCCATCCTACCTCCACACACGTTTGAGATGTCGTAACTGGAGAAGTCTGACTGGTTCAGAATGTCCACGAACATTGTGGGGGTGCCATAAATGTGCGAGCCCCTGTATAAGGAGGGGTGGCATCTCCAAATCAGGTTTGGAAGTGAAATGGAACTCTCTCTTCTCACCCACCCTGCCTTGCACCTGTAGGAAGGGCCCAGGCTGCAACGGTGGGAATGGGCAGGAGCAGCCCTTTGGAAAAAGGAACTGGTGCTCTCCTGGGGTCCCCCACTACCCTGTCTCCATTTCTCCTGGCTAGAGGGAGGAGACATCCTGGAAAGGGATCGGGCCCCAGGAGTGAGGAATAGGAGGGTGTCGTGAGCCCGCAGGTAGCTAGCTGTCCACTGATGCCCACCTCTCTCTGCTGATGGCCTCCAGCACCTTCTTGCCATTAAAAACCGGAGAACACAGGATAAGGGTGGCGCCATGTAGCACGCTCACCATTGTGCCCCCGACAGAACCCAGGCAGTGGTACAGCGGGGCGGGCAGGATTATCCGCTTCTTCTCTTCTGTCTGGAGATGGAGGCATGAGGCTAGGTCTATCCTGGAGCCAGAAGCTCCAGAAGCTAGTTCCTCTAGCCAGCAGGGAAAGCCCAGGGAGACCCTCACCCATGCAGAGTGCCGGGACGTGTTAGCTAGCACCCCCTCACCTTCAGGTGCAGTTTCAAGCGCTTCCCTAACAAGCTGGCGTTGTTGACAATGTTGCAGTGGGAAAGAGTGGCCCCCTTGGGTTTGCCTGTCGTCCCCTGATAAGGCAAACAAGCAATACTTGGCCTCTCCCCACCTCCTTCACACCCGGGGCCACTGCATGGAAGAGCACTGGACTGGGAGTCAGGAGACTGGGCTGCTGCCCCAGATCCATTCATTCATTCCATACGTGCTCACGCAGGTTTACTGCACGTCTGCACATTGCCAGGCGTTAAGATCCAGAAATGCGGAAGGTAAGGTCTTACAAAGTGGCTCAGAGGACTCCGTGGCTCAGGAGCAGATTCCCCTTCTAAGCCTCAGTTTCCCCATCTGCTAAGTGAGGAGGCAGGCTCTACTAGCTTTGACCTGTAGTGGCATAGTGCGTCTGCCCCTGCGCTGGGGACAAGAGGGCCAGGGGAGGGGGCCGTGTGACAAGGACGCCAGTTTTTGCTATTTTCCAGGGCAGAGGGTACAGCTAGGGCCAGGCCGAGGAGAGGTGTCTGCACTCCTGGCCTCAATCGTTGTGTCCTTGTCTGTGGTGGAAGAGTCATGGGGCAGGCGGGGGGCAGCGTGCCAACCCTGGCTTGGGTCCTGAAGACCTCTGCCTTACTGAGGTGTACTGGATGTTGACAGGGTCATAGCAGGACAGGAGCTGCTGGGAGTGCTGGAGCTGGGCCAGGTGCTGCTCTTTACTTCCAGCTGCCACCACCTCATCCAGGAGCAGTGTCCCTGGCAGAGGGGCATCCACTGAGATGAGTGTGGTCAGATCTGGGAGCCTGGGGGGAGGCAGGATGGAGAGAGTCAGGGACCAAGGGAGGGCGCACGGACACGCCGCCCTCCTCCCTGGGGATGGGTGGGGGCAGAGGGGGCCAGGGGGCCACATTAGGTACCCTTTCCAACCCAGGACATCCCCACCTCTGACTCTTCAAGGCCCCCGGCTGGGCCTTCTCCAACTCTGGACAGATCTGCTTCACGATGTTGTAGTATTGCTGGGTCTTGAACTGCTTGGGGAACACGAGGGCTTTGCAGCCCACCTGTGGAAGGGGAGTCCCCCCAACCAACCAGTCAGCAGAAAGCCCCACACTGGGGTCTGATGGAGTCCACACCAGAAGTTGCTCTCTCTCACCCTGGCTGGTGCAGCAGGGTCACCAGTTCGATTCCCAGTCAGGGCACATGCCTGGGTCATGGCCAGGTCCCCAGCTGGGGGCGTGTGAGAAGAACTGATCAATGTATCTCTTACACATTGATGTCTCTCTTCCTCTCTTTCTCCCTCCCTTCCCCACTCTCTAAAAATAAATAAATAAAATCTTTTTTTAAAAAAAGTTTCTCTCTCTCATACACAGGCACCACTTCCCTGACATGCACATGCACCAGCCTCTAATACACCCACACCAACTCACATACTCCTGGCATGACACATGTATGTACTGCCACCCCCAACACATATACCAGCTCTGTCTCTGCCCAACTACCTCCTCTTCCCACCCACTCACAGCCTAAGGAAGGGCAGACTCTGGGTATCGCCCAGCTGTGCGTGCCCTCCCCACCCCATCAGCCCACGGTGACCGCTGAAAGCCCCCTGTTCTAGACACGCACCCAGCCCTGGCCTCAGGAACAGAACCTACCTTCTTGAGGCTATACTCCAGCTCCATGGCCTGGTAGGCTGGGTTCACAGACACCTGGTAGAGACAGCAAGGGTACATCAGTGTCCTGGGCAGACCCTGTCCCTCTCGTTGTCCCTTTACACCCAGGAGGTATAGAAACATGGTGTGGACAGAGGTAGCACCCTGACCCGTTGGACCTCCTTGGTGGCTTCAGGAGAAAGCTACCCAAATACCCATCCAAGGACTGGTTTGGCTCCAAGGGGCCAGCTTCCTTTGAATGATGCCCTCCTGCATACCCAGCTGTGCCAGGCCAGCCCTTCCTCACCAGAATGATGCCCGCCTGAGCTGTGGCCAGCTGCATCAGCACCCATGCATAGGAGTTGGGTCCCCACATGCCCAGCCGGTCACCCTTGCGAAGGCCGATACTCAGGAGCCCAGAAGCAGCTTTGTCCACCTGGTGTAAACAGACAGGGCACAAGGGGTATGGAGTGGGCAAGTGGAAGGCGCATGACTCCAACCTCAGCCCTTGGCCCAGGGGTTCCCATCAGAACCGCCTAGATACAAGGGACACGCCTCAGTGGATCTGGAGCAGGGCGTGGAATACGAAGAGTTAATAAGTGCCCCAGGAGCCGCGGATGCAGGCGGCTTCTGAGCCACCTCTGCCTCAGCCCTGTCCCCACCTCCTGATGTCCCTTGGGGTTCCCAGGCAGCCCCAGTACCCTGCCCCACAGTGAGGTGCTGCCCTCGTGGCTCCACTCAACTAAGGAAGCCTGGGGACTAGCAGTCCTGCCCACTTGAAGGGTTCAAAGTCAGGACCCACCTCTTCCTTGAGCTGGGCAAAGGTCATCCTGACGTTTTCATGGAGGACGACCAAGGCCTCTCGGTCTGGGAACCTCTGTGCTGTGGCGTCCAGGCACTGTCCCACAGTCTCGAGGAGAAGAGGAAATGCGGTGCAGCCCCGGACGTAGCTAAGGCCTCCGATGGGCAGGGTGGCAGTGTGATCCCCCTCTCCGGAACTGTGGGGAGAGGCGCCATCAGCGCCACTGCCCCAGGCCGGCCTGCCTGGCACCAAGGGTCAGGCACACCCAGCTGGGGGCAGGCTGTTAGGGACCACTGCCGAAACTGCAGGACCCACCCATCCCTGGGGACCATCGCCATTGAACTTAGGTGTTGCTTCACTCTTGGGAAATCCAAACCAGAATCGGGCTTCTTGTCCTTAATCAGAGAGAAAGTTCTTTTCCCCAGCCTACTCCGCAGTTTCCACTCAGTGCCAGCGGCCTGGAGCCTTGGGGCAAAAACACTGGAAAAGGAAACTTGGACAAATCACATTGCTTTGGCTCAACAGAGGGATTGCCTGAGAGGGGTGAGAACGATGGTCTCATCTTGGACACTACACCTTCCTGATTACAAAAAAGCCCCTGGGCATTTGTCAAAACCCATAGAATAGCCCAACACAGTATACAAACTATGGACTATAGTCCATAATAATGTATCAATGATGAGCACCAATTGTAACAAATATTACAGTAATGCAAGATGTTAATAACAGGGGAAACTGTGTCAGGGTGGGGTGGGTATATGGAACTCCAGTTCAAGTCACTCAATTATTCTGTAACTCTAAAACTGCGCTAAAAAAGTTAAGTCTATTAATTATTAAAGAAACGAGGGCAAAAATGGCCTCCGGAAGTCCAAGTATCACATGCTTAGGCCTGTGTGTGCTCACTTGCCCACCCCGGGTGACAGCTGCTGGGCTCCCAGCGAGGCCTAAGGAGCAGTGTAACCGGTTTCGGGCTCTGTTCCCACCAGAGAGGGCATGCCCCAGGTTCCAGTGTCCTAGGCCACCTCCGGGCCACCACTAGGTGGTGTGGGCCCTGAGGGCCAATCCTGGTGATTCAATCGTGCTAATAATCCCATGGTTTTCTTTGTTGATCAACTGTTTATGGTTTGGGGAGGAGAATTTCTGGGAAGAATAAGGTATGCAGGGCAAGGGGAACAGAGGAAACCGCTGCCATCTCATGGAAGGGCAGGTCATGATGCCAACTGATGAGGAGGTGGTTCTGACCTGGCTCTGGAACTAGAGCGGGGGCCGAGGATGAGTCACACAGTGGAGGACTCCATGGGAGGTGAGCCAGCACTAGCCTGGGGTTGGAGACGTCTCATCCCAGGTGTGCTGCTAGCTGGGTGACTGTCACAGACACCTGTGGTGTCTCATGTCACGTCTCCTCAATGCATTTCTGGTTTCGGCTGCTGGGACAGTTTCCTGGGGGTCTTTATGCTCAGAGGCTTCCTCAAGTGTCCCCTTCTGTGGCTGGACAGTTCTGGGAGGCAGCTGTGCCTACTCAGAGGCCCTGGTTAAGCAAAAGCCTGGTTGCCTGGAGGTGAGGACTTCAATGACACAGCTGACACTGGCTTCTCTTCTTCTCTCCTCCTCCCACTCCCTCATTCCTGTTTCCCAGGATCCATCCGCACCCGAGTCCTCGTTCTCAGGGGAATCCAAATTGAGACACAGGACTTACCCTCTCTGGGCCTCAGCTTCCCCACCTATAAAGTTTGGGGACTGAATCAGTGGTTATCCTCAAGGGAATGTTATCCAAATTACCCAGACAATCTTTTTCAAAGGGTAGTGGCAAGCCACCTGAGCCAGGCGGTTCCTGTGAGTGTGCTGACCAGAAAACAGCCAAGGCTTGCAGGGTTTTAAGATCCTGTGAGTCTGCACTCACTACTGCCCATAGGCTGACAAACCTAAAGAACTGGTGAGGTGGTGCCTGGGGGTCACCATGACATCCCTCGAGAGAGACTGTGTACCCCAAATCCCTACCTCACAGGCATACTGTAGAGGGTGAGGAATAAAGAGAAGAAGTAAAATGGAGTCACTACAGTCAAGCTGCTAAATTACTGAAATCAAGTAGTTAAGGCATGAAGAAATAATTCTATTCTTTTTTTAAGATTTTATTTATTTATTTTATTTTTTAGAGAGGGGGAAGGGAAGGAGAAAGAGAGGAAGAGAAACATTAATGTGAGAGAGAAACATTGCCTCAGGTACAGGCCCCAACCAGGGATCAAACCTACAACCCAGGCACGTGCCCTGGCCAAGAATCAAACCGGTGACCTTTCGCTTTGCAGAACAACACCCACCAATTGAGCCACACCAGTCAGAGCAAAATGATTGTATTCTTGCTTTAACTAGCCCAGGAACTTACTTTTATATAGATGCCCTATTTATAATCCTCTGGTTACCCTCTGAAGGACTAAGGAAAGAATGCTCATGTGTCCACTGGATATCTGGAAGATTATCATTTTAGAACAATCCAGAGGCTAAGAATGCAGGACTGGTTCTCCTCAAGAATCTGAGTTTTACTATAGGAACTCTTAGCTTTTCATTCTTCAGAACACTCTGCATACTGCCTTGTTGTGTTTCCGGTTTGCAAACCCCAAGAGGCTTGAATAAAACTTTATCTTATTTCTAGCCAAAGCCTCCTGATCCGTTTATGCTAGGTCGATAAGGGCACTCATTCTGCGCACTGGGAAACAGGCATGCTCTTTCTTTGGGTTTGCGAAAGTGCTAGTTGCAAGAGCAAGCATGTGGAAAGAGCCTGTTTAAGAAGAAAGCCAACACAAGGAAAAACAGGGAGAGAAAAAGACAGAGACAGGGAGGCAGAGACAGAAACAGGAAGTCACAGTGGCCAACTTAATCTTGAGGGTGTTGAATCCCTAGACAAAGCCATGTAAGTCTACCTATCTCTCGACTTTTCACTGTCAAAAGCTAATAAACTCCCTCTCTAACTTTACCACAGTTTTGGGGGGAAAACAGCCAAACTCCATTTGTGACAACATGGATGGAACCTGAAGGACATTATACTAAGTAAAATAAACCACACATACCCCTGGCTGGTGTGGCTAAGAGTATTGAGCACTGGGTTCAGTTCCAGGTCAGGGCACATATCAGGGTTGCAGGCCAGGTCCCAGTTGGGGGCGTGTGAGAGGCAACTGATCAATACACACAGCCCAGCACAGTGCAGATCTCTGCCAGTTTAATAGTCTCGTTGTCAACGGAGCATCGAAGGCCGGGGTGGGGTTCTGCTTCACAACAGTCATCTTCCTATTCTCACAATGACCCAATGACCTAAAGAGAGGTTTGGTTTGGAACTTGGCTTTTCCCTCTTTCTCCACGGTTTTCAAACTGGGCAGTAGCCGCTTGGAAAACTTAGTTGGCAAATCAACAGGATGGTTCACATGCAAAAAAAAAAAAAAAAAAAAATCCAGTTCAATTGTCACATGTGTTAGCTCCTTTATCTTTATAGCAGCTCTGATAGGTGCTGTGAGAGAGACCTCCGCTAGCTCCTTCTTCCTTAATAATACACTCTCAGATGTTTTGCTGGCCCTGTGGAACAGAGGCCACATTTTCAAGCGTCCCCAGCAGATAATCCGGCCCAAAGGTAAAGTGCTGGCCAATAGGATTTAAAGAGAGGTAGTGGATGCAACTTCTGAGGAGAACCCTCAAAGGGAAGGCTCATCTTTTCTTTCTTCTGGCCAGCGGGAATGCAGCTTGTGACAAGAATAGAAGGGCAGCTATCCTGGACCACCTGGTGAGCTTGGATACTACAGAACAGCAAAGCAGAAGGAAGCTCATGTCTGACAGCAGGGTGCACCACGCCAGCTACAGACTAGCTGTTTCCCAGAAAAAGTAATTCTGATCTCCTGTAAGCCAACAGGGAAACTGCGTTTCTCTGATACGCTCTGTGGAGGAAGATAGGGGTTCTATGGGAAGTAGGCTGATCTGATCATAAGTTCCTAACTGGGCGGGTCATGGTGGGTAGTCATATCCCAGGTATGTAACTTCTTTAGTAAAAGGTTTATCTTTGATTTAAGTAAGCCCTGTCCAGTGCTTCTGTGCACCTAGGTTAACACACCTTTGAAATAAGCATAACCACCCTCAAGAGAGCACGTAGCCTTGTTAACTATCCTGTAATCCAATCCCCGCCTTGCTTTTTCCCACCTCCGTGTAATCTTCCTTACATTCCCTCCTTAATTTCAGATGCATAAAAGAAACTGAAAACTGTTATTCTCTGAAGCATTTATCTCAGTCTGATGAGACCTTGCTTTTGGGTGTACCTTCCTTTTGGCTCAAATAAATTCTTATAAACATTCTCTACAAGTTTGGATGTTCTTACACTGACAACGCTAAGCAAGTCCTAAAAAGCAAAGGTAGGAATTAATGAACTCTTTATTCTGTGGTTAGGGAAACTGAAGTTCAAAGAGGCCAAGTGGACTACCCAGCTGGTGAACAGTTGAGCCCAAAGTGAAGAATACAGGAAAACTGCCGCGCATTCCATCTGGTTCCTGAAGAAAGGCATGGGGTGGGTTTTTCTGTTCTTCAGGTTTTGGATATACCTCCTCTCTGATCACTAGAGATTGTTGAATCTCAATTTGATTTTTGTTTACTAAGTGAACCCAAGAAACTGGGACTGGGGTACGGCAAGATTGAGGTGGAAACAGGTGGCTCCTTCAAAGGAATTAATAGTTCTAGGAATTCCTATCAATGCAATTGGCTCATAAACTTCAGAACCACTCATTTCGAAAGTCCAAGCAGAAGAAGAACTGATTCTACCTTCCCGTTTTCTCCAACACACCCCAAAGGCCTTGGTCAAACAGGATGACTACTTTTTTTCTATTCTTAAACAAAATGACAGATATTCTCTTTCAACCTTAAAAAGATTAAATTTTAGGAAAAGCAGTTTGTTTGTTTGTTTGTTTGTTCGTTTGAATGTACTGGAGTTGGAGGAAGACAGCCAGTAGCCCCAGTTGCTCCTAATTCAAAGAACTAAAGTAAATACAGGCAGGTTTATAGTTGTTCATATGGAAACTAATACAATAATCCATAAATAATAATACTAGAATAAACTCTGTTTGGAGCCCTCACAACTGTAAACCTACTTTTGCCCCATTCTGTACTTAGTGAGGCCTGACCTACTAGGATGGTAATTTACAAAACACAAGGCACCAGGTGGAACTGAAA